TCAATGTGTCTATCTTGTCAATAGAGAATGGAAAATTTGTAGTAAAGTCGACTGTTGGTGACGGCCACTTTGGTGGCGAGGACTTTGATTCTCAACTAGTGGATCACTTTGTGGAGAAGTTCAAGCAGGACAACAAAGGGGTGAAATCGACACTGAGCAAGAAAGGCATCTGCCGACTAAGAAGTGCGTGTGAAAAAGCAGAGAGGATGTTGAGTTCGACTGATTACGCAAAGGTATGCATAGAATTGTTATTCGAGGGCATCGATTTCCGTATGACCCTCACACTGGCCCGTTCTGAACACTTGTGCTCTGACTTGTTCAGCAGGATGCTGGATCCGGTAAAGAAGGCATTAAGTGACGCGAATTTGGACAAGGCTGATGTGGAGGAGATAGTGTTGGTGGGTGCGTCGACAGGCATGCCAAAGGTGCAGCAGTTACTGCAGGACTTCTTTGATGGCAGAAAATTGAACAAGTCCATAAATCCTGACGAGGCAGTGGCATTCGGTGCAGTGTTGCTGGAGGCCAAGTTGAGTGGTGATAAATCAGAAGCGATGCAGAATTTTAAGTTGCTGGAAGTGGCACCAAACACACTGGTATTGGACACCCAAACAGGTGTGATGACAACGTTGATAGAGCGTAACACGCCAATTCCAACAAAGCTAAAAAAAGACCTTAATTCCCAACTATAACCCATTTGGAATGATACGTAACGTCAAAGCAGTTAACCAATTTGGGAGACAAGTAAAACAGGATAAAATACCTGTTAGATGGACGATGTACAATCAACCTTATCAATATGGCAATGTGTCGGGAGTGTCGATCCGGGTGTATGAGAATGAGGGCGCAGAGATGGATGATGACCACTTATTGGGCCAGTATACGCTCCCAATGTTGCCGCATGGAGTGATTGAGTTTGATGTCACATTCGATATTGACGACAATGGCAGTCTCATTGTTTCAGTGGCATACATAGGGTCAGGGACTCCAAATAATTTTACCCTTACTTGTGGGAGGAGCCGTCAATCAGAGGATGAGGTGGGTCGTATGGTGAATGATGCGGAGAAGCTCAAGCAGGAGGATCGGGAGGAGAGAAGCAGAATGGCGGCAAAGTGTATGCTGGAGGACTACATCTGCAGCATAACATCAAATTTGGGAAAGTAAGACACAAAACAGAAGATGTCGGAGAAGTTTTGACAGTATTTACTCACGATGTGTGACGCGACTATTAAGTGGATGGACTCCGAGGAGCACGCCTTGAAGGCGGACTACGAGCTCATGTGCAAAAATTTGGAAAACGTATACGGCTTCATTATGGAGACATATAAGAAATGAGAAATAAACTAATGTTCAAATTAAACTAACTCTCATTCATTCATCAAAAGAGGACTAGGATATGATACCTGGAATCCTTTGATTGTGAAACTCATTGAAAAATTGCTCGTTTACACAGCGGTGGCATTGCAGCCAGACATTATTTAAAGACAATGATAGGGTTGGAGGTAGGGGGTTAAAGTTGGGGTTTGGGGGTAGGGTGTCTAGCACTGTCTGCCTGTCTGACAGCGCTTCTTCTTGGTGCCCAGTCAAATTCAATTCCCGCTTTTAGTGACTCATATGCACCTTGATGGAGATTTAAGCTAAAGTTTGGCATCACAAGCAATCCTCACTTCTTTACCCTTCCCCGACTAGTGCTAATATATGACCTCTACTTTATCCCATTTCCCCTGCCTCCACGTGCATGTGTTGGTGATTTTGTTGACAATTATGGAGGTGAAGCATCTCCCTGTCCACCAATAACTCCGTGCACTCCGCATCCACAAATAATTTACATCGTCGAGGTCAGGTTGATTCTCATTTTACTCAGACAGCGGTTTTCGTGTAAGAGTAATCTATCTGCATTTACAACTTGAAGGAAAGATTAGATTAGCTAAAACAACGCAAATGTGTTTTTTCACCGTCGCAATCAGCCTAGCTATCATTATACTTTGTAGGCTTTTTAAATGATTCCAATTAAAGGATTTCAAATAATTCGACTTGATTTAATTTTAAAGGCGGAATAATCATTTCGTGAAAAAGGTCAAGCATTTTGCCCTACCTGAGGAAAATAGACACATAGCAGTGCAGTATTTGGCTAAAAATGTATTTTCGTGCATTTTATCCACTTGGACTCAAGCTTTGAAAAACGAAAGACATTCATTTACTTTGCCACCCTTAACCACCTCAATTTATTTCTACACACCCCTCCCCCACCCCACATTTCCCCCATGCTCCTGCCTTCACCGACCCTTCCCTGTTCAATTTAGTGCTCCTTACCTTACTGTTAATGAAATCGGTTCTGCCTGCCTGCCCTACTGCTTGTCATTCTCTTCGCCTCCCTGCAGCCACGTCATGCTTACGACTACAAAGGTATTTGGGTCAAGCACAAGGAGACTGCATTCTCACACCGCGATTTTCGCGCTCTACCCTCAACGGCGCTTTTGTCATACCTTGAGAGAATGGAGCCACCCAACTTCTGCTAAGACGCAGAGCTAGTTAATGTGAGTAATTGCAGTGCGAGGAAAGGACTGCTTACGAATCATGAGAATGCGCTACACGATTTATCAAGAGCTTATTTTGATTCACTTTTATTGAAGTGATGGCGCTTTGGCTCAAAAAATTTCGGTTCTACTTGCAATCATCCGAAAGTAAACTTCACTGTAATGTATGTATCGGCACTAATTCATCTCCTTGTTAGGTTGCAATTAAAAGGACACTTAATTTCCAAATCTACCGAAAGTCATATGTATTAAAAAGTGGATGCCGTAACTGAGACGACCATATTCCTTGAACTAAGTGTTGGGATGCTGCATGACGTGGTGTAACACAACCGGCAAAGCTAGTACTTAAGAGCAAAACTTATAGGTTATCATTTCCTGCTCAGAGGGCTGTGCCATATTGCTTGCCCCTCAGTTGACGTTTGCGACATGTGACACCGCTTGCGTGTGTGGCATTCTCCCCTGCACTGCTCTGTCCGGCAAACGTCGTGGATGCATATCAGTGCGTGTTGGTGGCAAAACATTAATGCGAAAGCACATTGAGCATGTATGGAAAGCTTGTCGCTGTAAAACTCAACTACTTAATCTCACCAGAGTGCAGTTGGCTAATGCCGTTGTCTTCTCAACCATCCACTTTCTCCATTCTCATTTTGACAATTCTGTCAAATACCAAACAGTGTAACACTTAAACATGCTTGAGGTAAATGCTCGAGGGAATCATCAAGCATCTACTTATGTTTTATTCCACTTGAGTTTGACTGCCAGTCATGCTCATAAACCTTACCACTTGCGAACAGACTTAACCGCATCCACTACTGCAGTAAATTTTAGCTGCAAAGAAATGTATTAAAATGTCTGAATACATCCACAAAGCCGACTTTCGTTGGAAAATGCATGCAGAACTACCATCTCACTCTTAGCAGGGCCAAAGTTCCGGCTGCCTAAGTGATTTGTGTAAATTTGTCCGTGTGTTTCTAACAGTGATGTATGAGCTTGACTTAAGGTTAGTCGACATTTATGCATTACGGCAGCATGTACTAATAAGCAAGAAGTCACAACATCAAGGCCAACTTAGAATTGCCTGTAACCTGCCTCAATCTCTCTGTCATCTGAGGCTACATATTACTCATTTGGCTTGATTCGTGATTAACGGACCTGTGCATATCTCCATCTCAAAAAATTGCGGTGACACAGGTTTTCAACGCTGAGTTCTTCTGTATCAGCCAACACAAGTGATCAGAGGGAATAAAATGTGAGCATAAAATCTTTAATCTTTCCCACAAAAAGAGTAACCTCCACCGATACCTCAACACATTGACTTAAAGGGTTTCATGCGAAGTTCAATGCATATGAATGCATCAAAGCCAGCGGAGGCAAGAAACCCGCAGTAGTCTATTTTGCGGAAGCCGGTTTGCACTGATCGCCACGCAACTAATGAAGTGGAAATGAGAGACTGTCAAGGTTTCTATTACCAAGCCAATAGTTTCACTTCCGGTCAATTGCTTCTCTCATTGGCTACTAAGAAAAAAAGACTCAGATACAGAAATTCAATTTTTAAATGCTCACTCACATCGCGCAATCGCCTCCAATATTCAGGCTGAAGGGGAGGAAAGGCACCTGAATTGGCCCCATCCTCAAAAAGCACGGGACTGAGGTGGCACACGCCCACGGCCTTGTGCGCCTCCATGGCTGTTTTGCGCGGCTTCGTGGCCTGTGCGAGATTCAGCATTCCTAATCGCAGTGCCATCAGGGTGGCGTTGTTGTGACTGAAAAAAACATAACTTCACAAAATTCCTCCTCCATTCCTTCACGTTATACTGAAATCATCGACACCGCGTCGTTGCACACCACATCACACTGTCACGTGCATTCACTCACATCTCCACTTTTAGAATCCCTACTTTACCACTTCCCTTCAATTCTACTAATAACTTTGCCTCTTACTTCTACTTCACTCTCTTTCCCACTGCCTAGGAGTCAATCCGGTTGACTGTTAGCATGTCCAAATCTGTATACATGCCTTCACCTTTTCATTTTCTCATCTATTCGTCTCTTCACCTCTCCGCCTTTTCCTCATCGCTTATCCATCCGTTGGTTAGTCGTTTGACGGAATGGCTGGGGATAGTTACAGTATACCTCCTGTGAATTGTGTGGGTCTACATACTGCAGGAATGCACTGTCCGGTCGCTAGAAGCGGGTGGCTGTTCAGAGATTAATCAATTACCTTCTCAAAGAAAAGGTGGTCTAAAGCGAATTTAGCAGGCAATGTCATACAAGAAAAACATTGTTGCCAATAAACCGATATGTTACGAAGAGAACACGCACAAAATAATTGGCCAGACACTAAAAAGACAAAGTTACACAAGAATATAGCTCGGTTCTTTAGGACAAACAGCATGAAGCGCTAGCCCAAAGCCAGCACAGATGCATTGGTTCATCCAATCAGTTGCCTCGTTTTTTCATTGGTCACCTGCAACCAATTACCTGTCAGGGGAGTGCGGTGATTCGTCCATTGGCTAATAAGCAGTCAGAGTATGGATTGGAGACACCTCGAAGAATGATATGAAGACCGAAGCTATTCGTGCAGTTCCCACGATTTGCAGCTGCTGATTTGACGTTCGTGAGAGATGTCGCCTTGAATTATTACATTTCCCTACAAAATTCCCCTTCCTACTGATAATGTATCATAAATTCTAACCAATTCTCCATCTCCACATCACGTCTGTGATTCTACGGTAGATGATGGTGTTTAGGCTTGCAAATTTCATTAATTATTTGCATTTACTCAGCTGATGGTAGATGTCCATATAAATCGTTCCCTAAACACGATATCACATCGTACAGGCTTACACTAATTACCCCCAAAAAGCAACGTCTTCGTCACTAGAAGATCGCTTTGCTGAGAGATAGACATTATCTTCTTCTGGAAATATGACAAATCAATCACTCTGCACATGGTCTAACATCTTCTCCCTAAAAAGATGAGCTTATGCGTCATAGGTCAAGAGGTAACTTAGGGAGTCAATGTGGGACGGACATCATAAATTAAAGCCTTTTTTACCTTTATTACTACCACTTTGATTTTACCTTAATATATGCCCTTTATATATCACATGGTTGACCTCTGCGTGCGAAATTAGTCTAAATTGGCATCAAATGCAGCGATAATGAAACTATTTCATCTGCCATGCATTGATTCATCGTTCTTACTTCTGCAGTCTTTGCTTTATTTTTTCCTCCTTTATTCATCATATGCTCACCAATTCCTGCTTCTACAATTTACGCTTCATCTACCAATCGTTGCGCCTGATTTCTCTTTGCCATTTGTCTGTTCAGAGGATCAGTTGATAGTGGGGTCGTGATAGGATATTCTTTCCTTTTCCTGCAATTTATATTAGCCAGCCCAAGGTTTTCAGTAGGCAGCAGCATCACTTGCGTTGTGTGGTTCATCCACTAACGCTTTGCTTAAGCCCGATCGGCCTCCCTTGTTTCACTGCCTCTAATCAAGTCCCTTAGCCAAACTACAATGCTGGAATAGAAAGCGGTAATTGGGTGGCGAGTTGAGAAATTTGAACTTTCTCCTGTCCATTATTTTTATTATTGACGTTAAAGGGCAAGTATTCACTCACCCACCTCTATTACAGCTAATTATTCTTTTCTATTCCCTTACAGACTTCTTTAACTCGTTTGTCTTCATATAATACAATCGCATTCACCGGTTTACCCATTTTCCTAATAGGCAAATTTTCGCCACCCACCAGTTTGTCTTTGACTGACCCTTGTAAATTTGCTTTGCCTTTTTCAAATTGGCTACACTGCCTCACCCACCATTGATGATGATCGCATTATCTATTCCGAATCCGTTTATCCATCTACGCTACCTGTCTGCTTCTGATCTACTTATTCACCAACGAATTAGATAATATTTGCTTTATTCACTACTTTTTTTATCTATTTATGCTATTTGGGTCTATCTAACCATCATCACAAGGCTGGAATTCATTAATGTTTAATTGATAACTAATCCTACATGCCATCCATTTTACATGCATTCAAACATGGACAACCTTCTCCTCTAGATTTTGGAAATCGGCAAGAGGTAATTATTCCGCTATCTCTCTCCGCCTCAGGCAGAAAAGGAAGGACCTCAACGTCAATGTCATCCAACGTGGCAAAAGTGGTAGAGTGCCATCCCATTACCCGACGTTCTGCAGTGTTTTTGGCTGCTGTTTAGAAGGGTAGGCTGATGCCCTCCACGTTGGAACTTCGAGCTCTGGTTTCGTTGACTCGTTGATTAAACTGTTGTATGATCAAGCTTTTAATAGACATGTTGAATTCAAAATGGCGAAAATAATGACAGGTTTTCCTTATAGACAAACTATTTTCTCAAATTTTGCAAAATATTTCTCATTGGCTGGTGTGGTCTTCTCTCCTTATGGAATCCGTGATAGCGAACATCTCAAAATTGTTTCACATATATAGGTGACTTTAAGGACATCGCTGTCAGTGTTAGGAATGTAGTACTACTCGGCTTCAGTAACGTGTACTGCCTTGGCTTAAAGAACTTGGCAGCGTATTTTTAATTTGTCGTCAGTTGCAAAAACCGGGAAGGCACGCTGTCCCTTTTAAATTAATATTTTAAACGACTTTAGTCTAAGCAGCTTTTAACTATTTCGGTCTTTCGTCAATGACAGACGCTTAGAGTACAATTTGTTTTGCTTTTTTGGCCTTAGCAATCGCACTCTCGGCACCATTTGTTGGGAGCGTCACGTATGTGTGACGCTGGCATCGAGTGTAATAAAGGGAAGCACTTTCTCATTTCATTATCTCCTTAATGGATAAACACTATGAAAAGATGGTTTACTTTGACATTGCAAGCAGGATCGATCTCACAAATAGCATCGCTTTTGCCGAATTTGTCCATCGGACAATTTTTACCTTTAACCTTCAGTCTCGTCAAATAGGTTGTTGAAAATGTAAGTAAATGTCGAAAAAGGTAACAAATACGGTAATTTCATCACATTAGAACGGAAGTTGGCTGTGAAAAGTGTGGCTGCATTTCTGCAAGTCCAATAAAGCAGAAGTGTTTCTCACTACTGATAAAATTCAGTAGAAACCATTTTTGCACTCAAATTTGCAGAAGCCGAAACTGCTAGAGCCTGAACAGAGGTGCGATTACTTGTTATGGGGGTTAAGAGTGCATTTATTTCTTTTACCGAGATTTCTAAAGGGCCTTATTTGGTCCCTAATGCTAAGGACCGTTCGAAGCTCGTAGTGAGGCCATTTTTCATGTAAGCCACTAAGATTAAATAATTCATCCCAGAGCTATAGGAGGGAGGAGAAGAGCGTAGCATCAGATTAGGTGATAAATCGAAGGACTTATGAAAAATGACCAGTAGATCTCATGAGGCACCTTATGTGCACTCATTTTGGTCTGCCTACATTGCTGTCTGAAATCAGCGTTTTCGCTGATTTGGTTATCCAAAGTCCATTTCTTTTAAGGCAAGTGAAATTGAGTCACCTTTTTGAAGTAAGGAAGGTAAAATGAAATAGGATAAAGGAAATTACCGGGAATTTGGAACCACATACCACTTTCGAGCTGGATGAGTACCAGATCGTGGACAATGCGGTGGAAGATATCTGCTTCTATTCCATCCACCTGCCAGAGCAGGCTATCCAGTTTTAGCGCTTTTTCTTTCGCTGTTGCTAAACACCTGCTCTTTATATGGTATTGACGCAGCAAATGAAAAGCAAGTCAGGTCTAAATTGACCTAGCAGTTCGGGTGTTCTAGTCTGCTACAGCCCGCTTTACTTCGTCAGAGATTATGCTAGCAAAACTGCGAGCATGCATTAGAGTCGCATCTAAAACTGGGAGTCACCGCGACAGAAATTGCCCCTTACGTGCCACGGATGTCCGAGCAAGCCATCTGTACATGCATAACTTCGGTGATGTGGAAAGTAGTTGGCAATAGATCCTCCTCTCCGGTCACATTTGGTATACATATCTCTCCTCAAAGTCATGGCAAGGTCCACGACTAGTTTCTGGGGGGCAGAGAAGATGTTGATGTCCTCTGGCCTGGCCTTGCTGTTGTGTCCCCAAGACCGAAGTACAACCTCCTCCGACTTGAGAGGCCCTGTACTAGAATACTTACATCTAGTGCCATTGGCCACTTATGGACTAGCCGAAGCTTCCTCTAAGCACTCATCTGCGTTCAATTGTGATGGCATCTACTCCAAAGTGTGATCTACTATATGTCTGGATGGAAGGTAAGTAGGATCCAGACCAGGCAAGCACAAACTTCAATTTGTAACTACTGGTGGCGCAAAATTCTTATCAGGAATGCGGCGAAGCTCAAACATCCACATGGGCATAACCGAAGGGTGATAGAGGTGGTAGCATAAATGATGTCTCTCACAACGGCCCCACAATCCGTAGGCGGCGTCGCAAACAGCATGATGAAGTCCTATGGGAGCCTTTTGCTTCCTTAGGCAAGCTTCCATCCCTCACCACACTTTGGCAATGTACTGCATCAGACTTTTCTTTGGATATGGTATCCATTCTACTCTCTTCCGGACAACATTTTAAAATGTGGTCATTGGAAACGATGCTGTTCAGACAAAACGAAGGTTAAGATGACCAAATTACAACGAATCAAATTACACAGCATTCAATTAATTTTGTTTAAATGTCTATGTTTGTCCTCTCAAACCTACTGCTACGGTCACACACTATAAAGTATTAAGTAGAAGCAGTGGAAGGTCGGGTTTGAAATGGAACAAGTGCATTTATTTTACTGTCTCCTGTTACGTTGGTCTAGCGTATATTTCACCATCATATTTGCTACATATTTTCTGATTTACACTTCCTACACTAAAAAATCCAAAAATAAGTGAGAGATGGACAGCATCATGTTGAATTGGGCGCCATACACTTTTCGTTACTAAGAATGCATTTTCAGCTTTTAGTTTCCTTAGTGTTGGTCGCTATTTCGGTTTTTCAGCCCCAGCAGGATACCATAATGCAATCAATTCTTGCCTTGCACTCACTGCCATGGTATTGCGGCTAACAAAGACGTCCATCCCATAAAAGGCAGTTCTGCATTTGGGTATGCGTGCAATCGAAGATAAGCTTTGAAAAAATTAGAGAGAATTTAATATTAGTACTAATTTTGGTACCAAATGCCTCAAGTTGGTTAAACAAGCCAACCCTTGTATCGCGTCTCTCTGTAAGCCAGCACTTCGAACATAAGGACACCAAAAGGGCCAGACATCGGACTTAGCATTCGGATGGTGGCCGCCCATCATTGCCTCTATTGCCGTGAAACCGATAAGGCGAACCTTCCCGAAATCGAGAAATGGGGAGAAGAAAGACACAATTCATAATACACGCGAAACAATACTAGGGGTGATGAAAAGTTAGGCAATTTTGTAAATGAGCGGATGTGATGTTTCTGATGCACGAAATAAAGACCACTCGAACTCACAATTATTTTAGATTTATTATAGAATTTTGGTCAATCCAAAGTCAGCGAGCTTCAAAAAGCCGCCCATGTCAAAAAGAGTGTTCCATACACTACTCCTTCTTTCTCCAGGTACACCATGCCTATCACTACCTATACATCCAGGCAAACAAATAAAACACGTGCGTCTATTGTTGCTGACCGACTGACTGTCAGGCTAATCGACTAAATTCGTGCGTGTACCGTTGACTAGTCTCCACATTCTATGGCATGTCTTCTTAGTTGTGAGTTTCACACACCGTTGTAGTGCTGTTACTTTCTTCTCATAAAAAGTCCCATCTAATGCAAATATAATTTGCTACTGACAGCCAATGAGTAGTTGCTCTGTTTATGTCGAATTTCCGCTTCTTTGGTAACTGTAGCAGTTGAGCTTAGCGGAAGTGAAATGACAAGACAATTCAGCTTACAAGATCAAAAAAATGTGCTTGAAGCCTTTTAGCTACATTTCTACGCCAGACTGAGTTAAAAGTCACTTTAAATGAAGGGATTGCAGGCAAAGAATGCTTTTTTGCATAACGTCAACGAAACGCGCTTTGCATCAGAAAGTGACTGTAAAAGCAAAACAATGACGTTAGAATCGTCCCAATACTTGCCAGTCACAGTACTTGATTGTTAACTGCTGTTCAGCATCGGCCAATCGATGACATCCTGCTGTCATTGCCGAGGCAACAAGGAGTGAACAAGCAGTGAGTAGACATGGTGCAGACAAGTATCTGGAATCATCAAGCTACATACATAAACGCAGCCTCTTGGCATCAATGTTCTATGCTTATTACTCCCCTACTTCGTCTTGCAAAGCGGAATGCGAAGAGGACGTCAAGTTTTGATTTTCTACTGCCTTCTCTGTGTGTGGCAGAAAGGGTGGGTGAGCCATAGGGGGACACCAACCTTAACAATAATAGGGTAGTCCAGTTAGTGTCCCGCAGGAGTATTAAAGTAGTCTCGAAGTGCGCCGATGACCATGAACTCGGTGATGACGAGGACTCTGGCATCAAGTGCACAACAACAAAAGCCAAGGAAGTGCACTATGCGTTAGTGTGAAAGATTTTCATCATTTTTAGCACCTTACGAAAGGCTTGGTCGTTTGTGATGCTAAAGCACTTTTTCACTACCACTTCCATACCGCGTATATGACCTCCAACTGTTTGTAAACTTAGCTGGGCAACGCAACAACATGCGCGTCAGGGCTTCTTACCCTGGGGCCCTTCTTTCAAATTTATCCTTATTCGAAAGCTCTCAGCGTTTGCCACACTAACTCAAATGCATTATGACACATTTCAATTCATCTACCTCCATAACATCAGCATTCACTGCAGTTACTACAATAATCCCAGCTCGAGTAAACGATTAATGCGTAGCAGAAATACATCATGATGAAAATTGTTAAAATGGCTATATGTGCAATATACCGAAGGAGTATTTTTTACCATGCGAATAGTGACAGACATCGGATGGCTGTAAGCAGTAGAAATACAGGTAGAAATAAGCACATTTACAGGCGCAAGTCTATCCGAATGTTGAATGGCTCAGCAATGCATATGTGCTTAAGAGTCCCACACAGGGGTGGACTGCATTATCGCAGGACAAGTGTAGGGCTCTTTTTCGTGGGTCCCTTTTTCACACCAAAATGGAATGGAGCCACCTAAGCTCCACTGAAGCGTAGGAATGACTAATGTGATAAATGTTACGACAGGGCAAAAACTGCATATGATTTGCAATAACGTAAAACAAACATCAGGCGCATGAGCTCAACGTACTTTTACTAAGCATTTTTCAAGGCGTATGTAGTCCGATGTCACTTACATTTATTTAAAGTAACACTTCACAGATAACTTAAAGCCATAATTACTTCTACAATATTTGCAATCTTACTGATTAATCGGTACGCCGGCTGCGATTGAAGGACACTTGAATGTAGAATTTACTAAGTGCCGTCGTGGAGCGAGTGGGCGTCAGAACTGAGGCCACCAAATTACTTCAAGTGAGAAGCGTGATCTTGCTCGATGTGCTGAAACACAACCAGTGAAGCTAATACTGAAATGTGTAATCTTAGAGGCTATCATTTGCAGGTCAGAAAGCAATGCGATGTTGCCTGCCCCTCATTTGACAGACGTCACTTGAGACACTGCTTGCATGTGTGGCACCATGCCCTCACTTCTTTGTCCATCAAACGTCGTGGATACACGTCAGAGCATGTCAGTGGCAAAATGCTAGTGCAGCGTGTTGCCATAAAGTAGTTTTTTTGTACAAAGTGGCAAAATGGAGAGGTCGCGCATTTATGGAGGCCATGGCGCAGAGTTGAAGGGCAGGCAAAGTTCACGCGAGTAGTATCATGAGCGCTTGTTTTGCCAAGAGGTGCAGCATTCGCATAGACATGCCCATATAAGTGTAGTCAATTCTACCCACATTTCTGCTGCTCGCAGCCATGCAGCGTCCATGACTGTTCACGTGGTAAAAACACTCCATTGTTGTAACGCACATATAACCACTTCGACAATTTTCATCATGATTCAATTCCACTCTGCATTAATCGTTTACTCGAGCGACCCTTACCGTAGTAACTGCAGTGAAAGCTGATGTTTTGAAAGTAGCTGATTTGCGATGTGTCATAGAGCAAGAGAGTGATTTTGGAAATTGTTGAGCAAAGTAATAAACGAGGACAAATTTTAGGGAAGGGCGTTATGGAAAGAAGCGCTAACGCATGTGGTGCTGTGTCATTTAAACTTTACCGTAGTTGCTAGTAAATGCCTCAACTACGGGTGAGGGAATCCTTTCTCTGCGCATACCCTGCTGCTTGTTGTGTAATTCGACTATCTGCAGTGGTGTTTTGTTTGACTGGCACAGCTCAGTGCCCAGTGATAAGCGTCATAGTCATAACTAGCGCAATAAAACTACAAATGTAATTAAGGGTACTACGCAAGGTGGACTGAATTCGCGCACAAGAAGTATCACACTGTGTGCTTTTGTGACATTTAAGAACTGATGGAATTGTCACTGCACACCATGTTTTGTTCTCGTAAATGTGTGAAGCTGGTAATGCGAGCTAAAATAGCGCGGTTGTATATAGATTTGATAGCCGCTCGTCGGCGGGGTTTACTTATTCTATAATGTCTAAGGAGTGAATTGAATAAATCAGACTCTTAAATTCGGCCTCACTGCAGTTTCAACGGTGTCAATTTAGTACTGACTTCTCATTGGATGCTGGCAGTAGAAGGAGAGCAGTAGGAAAGAAAACAGCTGAGGTGCTGAGGACCTGGAGTTATTTATGGCTAAACTGGGCAGGTAGTAGCTTCCTCTCTACAAAGTTGCACTCACGAATGTCCTTAAGGAGTGTATCTTCGGCTTCGCGGATATAAGTATCAAGGGTAGCTGAGATTAACGCAATCATGACATCAATATTTGGGTATCCTCAAAAGATACACTAGAACAAAGCCAATAGTGGTCGGAGCTAACAACGATGAGCGTCGCTTTTGCATTAAATATGAGTTTAATGGGATAGGAGATGATAGTTAGGGGCTTGCAAAAAGGGAGATTGAGATTGGCTGAGTAAGGATTTAAGCACTGTGCAGCAAACATTTTACCTCTCTCAATGTTATGGAAAGGGCATCGCGTGAAGGGGGAGAGAGTTGGGCTAGCCACCTCGTGGGCTCAATGCCAGTCGTAAGAAAACTGACCCAAGAGGGTAGCTATTGGATGCAGAAGGGGGGCTTCAAAACAGTATCATAGGCTTGAGGTTTCGCATCGCTTTGCCGTTGCCGCTTGTAACGTCGGGGCTACACTGACATATCTGTTTGGATTATACCCACCTAGCACAAAGATAGAGGAGGTGTCCCATCAATTTAACTGGAACTATAAATAACCCCGCAATGAACTTCTTCAGATGATACAGTGATAGTGTCGCCCCAGTTATTAAAACCAATCCCGCAGAATACAAGACGTTCTGTTGATTCAAGTGCACACCACATTCTACATTCCTGTCTGCAGCGTATGCCCTGCTTTCCTCTCGCTTACTCTTCAAATGCAGTATCAACTACCAGGGTGTTTGTCCTTAATGGCCCAGTTGACTTTCCGCTTCGTCATTGTGGGATACACAATCTTTCATGGGGACGAAGGAAGTCATGGTAGTAAGGCAGGATATGTATCGTCGACGTGTGGAAGGGTGAGGGCACACCATGCCATGCCTCCCATTGGAAATATAGAGGTGGAGCCTTAGTTGCCCATGAATGCAGGATATAGGTAAAGATGCATTTGAAGCATTACACTAGCAGCACAAACAACAATCACTGATTCTGATTCCCATCAAATCATCATTTTGACGAGCTTTTAAGTTGTTGTTGCAGGATCAAGCGCATCGGATATTTCATTTTAAAAGACTATTTAGCCGCTTCCTTTTAAAAGAAGAAAAATGCTGTCTGTGGTAATCGAATAAAACAGGAAAAGCGTTATTTAGTTTTGTTTCTTAACTCGTTACCTACATATTTTAAGGGTGGCGATTGTTTGAGTTAAGGTAAAAAGAAATTATAAATGAGCCTAGCTGAGAGCTGTGCCAAGCCGCAAATAATTTGGGCACTACAAGAATTGAAGTTCGTATCAGTAGAATTAGCCGAGGCTCTTTAGGAATGTTGCTGTATTTGCTGTCAAAAGAGGCTCCCAAACTTGTGAGCAAATGCGTGCAAGCAGGCAAATGCTTACCCACACGACGATTAAGCAAATGACTTCTACTTGCGGTAATGTCATGATCTCAATCAAGTAGGAATAAATAAAATCAACATCCGTGGAATACATCACCTTTAATGAAGCATCGCATGTTGAAGTCGCTTTTAATTTTGCTTAAACAAATCCCATTTATCAGCCTAGAGATGTCTTTTTTCATTCTGCGACGAATTCACTCCTGTTTTTTTGAAATTGCCCCTCCTTTAGATTATTCTTTGACACACACTTTGCAAGCCAAACCGTCAACAGGGGTACGGTTTTAGTTTGTAAAGCTATACATGCTTGATACTATGTGGTCATGTGTGCGAAAAGTGGTCAACTACTATCAAATTCCTATCTGTCATCAGTTCTGAAACAGTCATGCCTCCTCCTTCACAATTTCTCGCCCTCTAGATGTTGATCCTGTCTGGTCCACATGGCAAGTCAAGCCGTTGACGAAAATCAGTAGACTTGAAGGACTTGGAAAATGCAGAAGGCAAAGCACGTCCCCTTTATTCAATACAAGAATGAAGCAAATAAAGGCGAAATTGAAGCGAATGATATGAGAAGTCACCAATAGTAAACAAAAAAACAATCATTTTATTCCAGAGATCTTCGCCCCTGTCATAGATCTCAACGTCCAGGAAATAAAAATGTACGCAGGCCTAAGCAGTCCGACGGTTGCTTTACACGTGCGTGACATTTCGTCCTCTTCACCCATAAATAGCAGAATTTAAGGCCTGAAATAGCCAACTCCATCCTTGAGCGAATCATTATCTAACCGGTGTTTAAAATGCATAGCTAATGTAAGTCACTGCTAATTTAGACTGCATTTTAGGCATGTAATTCGAAAGTTAGCTTGGTTTTATTGCCTGAAACTATTCTCAGCTTTGGTTTTAATTCGGACTATCATAAGGTTTGTCAGGGAAGCATATTTATTTTCTCTTCATTGGATTTTGGTTGCAAAAGTCGTCAATCGCTTCAAAGAGCAGCCTACAGTAGACTCCGCCCTTGTTTATTCACATGTTTAGGGCACGTTCTTGGACAGCATTCAGTTTCTTAACTGGGATTTTACTTCATTGCGATGATCCTGTGCTTGTTTAATTCAGACCAGATCGATGACAACAATAACTTCACCTTTGGGTCCCTCGTTGTCAGTTAGCCTACAACTACCAGTTATGTATCCGACATTGCTTAACTGACTGCTGCGGACGTTGGGTAGCTTATTGGCAGCTTTCGTTTTCGACATAGTGAAGAATCATGCCGACGTGGTTTAGTCCCCAATCCTCACGCCATTCTGGTTGATATTCTACAATACATGTGAGTATACCATCCGACCTTAAGGGATTAAGACTTGTCAATCAAACACTAACATGTGGCAGTTTTGCGAGGATGGTTAGATAGACGCGGATAACATAGATAGACGAAAAAAAACTGCAGACAGGTAGCGTAGATGGATAAACGGATTCCGATTAGATGATGCGGTGACAATCAATGGTGGGTGAGGCACTGTGGGTGATTGAAATGATGAAAAACAAGTTTTCAATTTATAAATACGGAGTGGCTCGATCAAAGACAACCTAGGATGAATAGATGCAATGGAAGTGGATGAGTGAAAGGGAGATGAATGCTTGCCACATAACAATAACAATAATAGATTTGAGATGATTAATATTTCCCGATTTCCTAATTAATCACCGCCCTTCTGTTCCGGCATTGTAGTTTGACTAAGAGACTTGATTAAGGAAATGAATCAAGGGAGGTCCATCAGGCTTTAGCGAGTCGTTAAGGCAATGACTACACATCCCAACTGACGTTACTGCCTACTCAGAACAGTGGACTGGCTATTGTAAATTGCAGGAAATCGAAAGAATATCCTACCACTACTGCACAACCTACGGATTCTCTAGACAGACAAATGGTGGAGGAAAAACAAGTCCAACGGTCAGTGGATGAAGCAAAATTGTAGAAGTAGGAATTAGCGAACACTCAATGAAAGAAGTAGGAGATGATAAAGCAAAGACTGCAGGATTGAAAACGACGGGTTAATGTGTGACAGATGAAATATTTTCCTTCTCACCGCTTATAGTACTAATTTGAGGCACTTTTCTTCTCAGAGGTTAAACGTGTGATGTATGAAGTGTATTATGAAGGTAAAATGGGAGTGGTAGTAGTAAATGTAGAAGGAAGATGTCCTTAATGCAGGATGCCCGTCCCACATTGATGTTTCAAATTTCACCTCGAACTGTAATGCACAAGTATACCTTTTCTGCAAAAGGATGTGAGCAACACTCGTCGCATAATAGATTTGTCACATTTCTAAAAAACGATAGTGTCTATCTGCAAGCAAGCCAGCGCCGAACAGTGAGGCCAATAAATATGGAGATCTGGACACTAGCATCAGTGGATCAGGGAGAATGAGTAGGGATGAGAATGAGGATGTGGGGTTTTTCCTTCCTCTCGTCCAACTACTAAGCAGTTCCTATTACTGACATATAATTTGCGTTTTGTGCCATGGCACCTTCTGCCGTCTCGAAAGAATAGGACTTGTATGCAGGCCTCATCAGTAAACGCTGATTAGCCTTCAGTAGCTGAGCAGTCTCGTCTTCGATCTGCCCCACACAAAGTGACCAGAGTGACTTAAAACAGTGGGTTATCTAAGGCTAAGCACTGTATTTGTTCGCTTATCATCAGATCCATAATAGCAATTCAACAAGTGTCAGTGAATTAGCGAAACGTGTAAGCAGAAAAAGGCAGCGTGTCTCGGTAGCATTCTGTCCGTTATCTGTTGGTGATTGGAACATGGGCAGATCGTCGCAGACCACAAATGATGCTTCATAACGCAAATTAAAAGTTAAGTGAAATTGTGACACGCAATGTCCGACATGGTAAGCGTGACACATCCAGCTACCTGTACTTATCTACATCAGTCAGAATCTCTAAATCACCTCTCAGTGCTACACCCTACCATCTGCAAATCTAACGCAGGACCCTACAGCTCTGGCATCAAGTTAGCATCCTATAACGATACCAATTAATCTTTCTTGCATGGCCTTTCTTCAATGCATTTAGATGTCTGGCAGAATAGTCACTCTGTTTAGGATCATTGTCAAGAAATGCTTAAAATGGTCACTGATTAGCCCCTAGTATAAGACCTTCCAGTCACCAAACATAATTGTGAAACAGCTTTACCAGTCCCATCATCCACACAACTCTTGCCTGTTACTCTAAGCAGTTAGATTGTCACGCTGTCAAAGGCACTGAATGACATCTCTCCTTGAAACAACAGTGACTTCTAAGTGACACGTGATGATTCATGCATACTGAGATGCAGCCACCTGGTAAAGCATGTCACGCCATCCATAACATTAATGGACATCAATCGCACATAGTAGAGTGAAAGAGCGCTTTGGCAAGTGAAGCAGGCAGAAAGTGTGTTAATAAGTAAGTTGTGATTTTCGTCCTCTCTGTAAGGCAGCTGTCCTGGAAAATGGGCCTCATTTCTTCAAGAACGCAATGTTGCAAGTCATAGCGATAAGGAGCACTCAATGAGGAGAGTAGGGTGAAGGCTATGTGCAAATAGATGGTAAAAACTTTGTTGTGTACATAACCAGAGATTAGTGAGTATGGCACCTCACAGGACAATCATTTTACCTTCCATTTACGAATTCTCCAATTTGAAAAAATCAAAGTTAACACTAAATTGGAGCTACGGCGATCAGTCAGATGGTGACCGACTTTGAATCCGTCCATTAACACAGCGACTCTGCTAGAGATATACGACTGCAGAGTTGTTCTCAACTGCATGATTGAGGGTGCGGTTCCTGCCCCTCTTCGGAGAAAACACTAAGGGCATCACTCCGTCCAATTTGATAGTAACTGAATTCCAATGATGGCTGTGACACTTCGCATTGTTAACGCACACACACACACACACACACACACTAATTTCCATGCTTTGATATGATGGAGGTCAAAAAACAAACCATTGTTTTGTTTAAATTACACGACCTTATCACTAGTCCGAATGCCAAGTCATTCTCCACACA